TCCCCGCTTTCCTCCTCTAAATAAAAAATGGATGACGGAGGAGACTCATCCACGACCTCCGACACTAAACTCTCCTCCTCTTGCATGTTTCCGCTGTCCATAGCGTTCCTTGACAGCGTCGTTTCTAAGTCACCAATTTAGTGCTACTTGGTCCCAATGGAATTTCCCATTGGGAACCTGCTAGCACTAAGTTGCTAACTGGTTAGCAAGATGCTTCCCACAAACCGGCCACAATCAATCTTGTTTGCAAACCTTCCTCCACAACAATCCCGCCCCCTTGATAATCGACCAATCACATTCACTTTATTCACTTGTGTAAAGTTGGGCACCACTGGGAGAATTCGGAAATGCAACGGTTGGAACAGCCGCTTCCCTGCGACTTTAAGGATCAGATCGGGAGTCTGGACCTGAATATCAGCTGAATAATCTCCCAGAAGTTCAGGGATCTCTTTTGATTTCAGCTTTTTTATTGTCATTCCACTGTCACGAGTACAGAGCAGCGAAATTCATTCTCTGCATTTAACCCCTCCCCTTGGGGAGCAGTGGGCTGCCATTGTGCGGCGCCCAGGGAGCAGACTGGGGTTAAGGGTCTTTGCTCAGGGACCCAGAGTGGCAGTCTGTGGGAGTGGGGCTCAAACTCTGTTCTGTCAGACCAGCATACCTATAGTCTATACACAGGCGCAAGACGTCAGATTTGATATTAAATCGTTTTTTAAATAGTTTTTTGTACATTGCTAAAGTCGGGCAAACACTGCATGATATTTTCAATCGTTGCTCGCAGCTATAGCTTAAACTGTACTTATCTGAGGACTTTAGCCGTAGCTCTGGGTTCTTCTAGGACCTCCTGGATGAGTCCTGGTGGAGCTCTTAGAGGCTGATAGAAGAATGTCAGACACTCTTTTGTCCGTTTGTTGCTGAATGTCTTTGGATCGGGTCAGGATGTGTTGATATTTACGATCATTTAGCCTACTTCATGTGTCCTGACCGGTTCTCTCTTCATTCTATAGAACGTGCTTTAATTGGACCTGAGTTTAAGAACAGAAACTAAAAACAAACCAGGTTTATTTAGTGAACCGCTCATCATCAGATGTTAGGCGGTTTATAAATGGCTCCACGCTTTCAAACCATTTTCCTAATTCCTGCTTTTAATCGAGGATCAATAAAATGTCCTCAAAAAGCTCAGGCTGCTGTGGGATCCACC